AACAATATTATGTTAATAAAGAGGGATAAAAGTTAAGGGTATGACTCTAATGTCATGATAGAAATTGGGCTTCCCAAAAGGTCTCGTCTAATGGAGATGTATTCCTTACTTATAAACTCATGATCGTTCCCAATGTGCGACTCCCTCCCAACAATCCTCCCCTTGAACAAGATTTTGAAGTTAAGTGCATTTTGGTAAGATTTTTTTTTTCTTTTCACGTGACATATTTTAACCTGCAATTTTGAAGGTCTCTCTACATTGCACTTTTTTTTTTGTTTGAAACTCGATGTGGGTATGAATTTTAAACGAGGTTCTTGAGAAACATAGGGTTAAACCATACATTTTTATTCTTTTTTATCCGCCATTTTAGAATCCCATCTTACCAATAGAGATAGTGTCCTCCCTTGAACCGTCGCTTGTCCAGTTTAGCACTATCTAAACACTCCCTCCTTTCCTGGAGCACATTGCTAGAGCCTTCCCTTGAACAGTCATTTATCTGTCTAGCACAAGTCTTCACTATGACTACAATCTCGAGCCTCACAACTTTTTTGTTTGACACCTAATACCATATTGTTCAATCTGAGTATAAACTCTTATGTCTCATACTAATGGATATACTCTACTCGAGATCTATTGCTTTGGTCAATTTGATTGAATAAGACATTTAGAAAACAAAGAGGGCCAAATTTGGGGAGACAAAAGACAGGGCAAGAACGTGATAACATTCAGAACCCAACAGAAGGCTCTTTATGAAGGATCTAAAGAGGTGGACACCAATAATTCAAGGTGAAAAAAAAGATGAAATTGAGATTTTGTTGGGTTTTTCCTTTTCTTTTGTACTAATTAACATGTGATCCTCTTGGTTCATTTGATGTCCAAAAACAGCTCCCCAAAGTGAATTCCCAAACAAAAGGAAAGAAGGGTAATGTGAGTGAAAATTGACCACCGTTTTCCCTGTCTGAAACCTTAACATGTGTGTTCTGTTATGGGGTTTGGTCATGTGGTCGTGTTTTGTTTCCTTTTGGCCTTTTCTCATATCTTTTTGGACATTCGGTCGGTGTTTCTCCAACTCTTATTCCATCGCCATTTTCAGCTTCCACTTCCTTCTTTTGTCACTTATTTCCATACATTTTTGGCATTATGCATAACTGTGTTTTGTATAAAAGTATTGTTAAAGTGTTCAATTTTACAGTTAAAAAGTGAGTTTTGGGAACCGCATTCAATCCTTTGTTGGATTACTGAACCTTTTGCCAAGCTCATCACCTAATGTTTGAGCAGCTCGTTGGATCCGATCAAAGTTTGGACAGAGCTTGAGCTCGGTATGGGCCGACCCATTAAACTAGCCAATCAAATATTAAGGACGTAAGTCGAAAAATTTGCTTGGGATTTAAGTGGCTTTAGAATAACCCATTAAAAGGACTCTACCGCTCCTAAAATTTTAATAGACGGCTTAATATAACACGATAAGGTTATGCTTGAAATTTCTGGTTATTGGGTTATGTTAAAGAGCTGTGAAATGATAAAAAATGTCCCTGTAATTATGCACCACTAATTTGTGACCCATTCTAATGGCATTGTTTCTAAGGGATTATGCAAAGTTTTAAGGTCATTAGAATATGTTGAGGGCTTAAACCAAGATTTTTTTTTGGGTAAATAACTAGAATATCTCATAAGAATTTTGAGATATTTCAAGATCTCGAGGTACTCCAAATATTGTGAAACTTTATATGGAGACCCATTTATGACCATAAGGGTAATTATGTGAGATCTCATAAGGGGATTCAAACATGTTTGAGGTGTGAACCATGAGAAAAAAAAGACAACTACATCTAAAGGCCCTTTATAAGAAATCAAGGTTTTTATGAATACAAGTGACAAAATAAATTAGGGAGCATTGTGATTTTGGCTTAGGCCAACCACGTAAGTGGTTATTGTTGGCTTAGTTGGATGACTTGTTTGTTGTATGAATGACATGTCCCCAGTGTCTCCTACATATGTCGTGTTTTATAATTGTTTGACGTGTGTATGTTATGTTTAAGCTATGAGATATGTTATATCGTAGTACAAGCTATGCTATGTTATCTGCTATACTATGATATGATTATACTATGTCATAAAACTATGTTATGCTATCAATGTTAAATTATGTTAATATGTCTGCTTTATGCTTATGACACAGTTATTGTAACGCCCGCTCATCGTCAACGCGATTAACAGGAGTTACCATCATCAACGACAACATATTCTAACACCCAATCATAATTTCAAAATATTTCTAAAAAAAAACATCCAGTAAAACATTTAAAACCAGTGCTATTTAAACTTAAAACAACCGAAGTAAATTCTTGACAACGAAAACATAATTACATAAACAAACCCAGACATGGATTCCCAGTAGTCTCTAGCCCGCTGGTCTCGTCCTCGGTTGGCCTGCATCATCTAAATCTGGAAAGAAAAGTTATAATAATTTTGATGAGTAATTAGATTACTCAGTAAGTAGCTAGCTTATCATTCACGGGTTCATAACTAATCTTTCCAGGTGTTTTTAAGCTTTATTCATCACTGACTCCTAGTTCTCTTACTAGGGTCATCTGTTCGTTAATGAGGTATCTCAGCTACCTCCAGCTAGGTTACTGACTCTCCTTCGATATGTTTATCTAGAATTTTCGGACTCATATGTAAGACTCGCTCTCAGTCAAATACGGCCCGTCTACTAATTGCTCTGGCGGCCTGTTTATCTCATATACCAACGGTCAGGAGTACTCATGCTCCCTGACTTAGCACACATCGCGTTGGCCAGGAACTCCGCGGGAATTAGTAGACTATCATACTCATATAAATAAGTCATAGCTCAACAACTAATAAGCATATCTAGAGTCATAACCTTTCCATTAACATGCATAACATACTCACAGTTACTGCATGCTTTCATACCTGTATCATGTTCAACACATAGAACATTCTGACAATCATTTATATCATGCTTACATCACAGGCAAGCAGTCACAATATACAATAAACACTCAATATCATCAAAGCTCATCATAACATACTAAGCTCTTAATCAGGTAAACGACATACTCACATGTTGTAAAACAAGTTAAGAACTAGTTCATAGATCGATACGCTACTTACCTGGTTTCGAATCCCTTTCTCTCTTGATTGTACATTTAATAGGGTATTTCAACACAATTCCTTCCAATTAGACCTATATTTCACTATTTTCAAGGTAAGTATAGGTCAATCTAGGTAGAACAGGTCAAAACAAATCGAACGGGACAAACCGGGAACCGAAATGATGCTTCACGCGCCCTCACATCCTCGGTGTGTCTGTCCCACGCGCCAGGAGCACGCCCAGTCGCGGCCCTCACGCGCCTGCGTATAGTGCACGCGCTTCTTCTTCTTCCTTGCGTTTTCTGAAATTTTCCCATCTTTTCTGTTAATACCTACTATATCCTGAAGCCATATCCTCCTTCTACGATTCGAATTTCATCCTGATTCCTTCTACAAATTTATAGATCTCCTTATTACGTTTCTAACAAGCCCTATTTCATAACTTATTATACAATACGAACCAAG